CTCATTCACTGATGCCCATGTTACGAATTCCCTCAACCAAATGATACTTCACAGACTGGCCAACTCTCTCTATATTCTCATATAATTCTAGGGAGAAAGAGAGAGGGGGGAAGAAGGAAGTAGAGGGGGGGAGAGAGATTCAAACAATTAAATACATGAATATAGCATTAATGCAGTACCTAAATGAAACCTCTTCCTTCCTTTATGGTGAGGCAACAGAGCTGCTTTAAGAGGAGCTTGTGATACTAACAATGGCTCCAGTCTATAGGCCACAGGATCATACTGTACATCAATGATAAGAATCAATGGAGGAATGGTAGTGTATGCTTACTGGATGGAATATATTATAAACTGAGGAACAGGTTGGGAGTTGATACTCAGGACCTAGGGACTCTACACCTCTAGTAGTGGAGGGAATGAGAATGGAATATAGAAGGAATGGGAATGGAATATGATAGGAGGAATGGAATGAATGAGATACCTAAGTGTTAGAAATAGTCCAATAGGTGATCCAACAGCAAAGAGTGACGAAGGATTGAAATTCAATAAAGGATAATTAACAAGAGGTTGACCTGTTCCAGCTGTTCCTTTAACGTAAGTTACAGTTTCAGTAACTCCACCCACACAAGCTCCATCAGCTGCCAATGACTTCTTAAGCTCCTCCTCTCGTAATCTCTCTTCAGCTTCTTTGACTTTCCTTTCCTGAAAAAAAGAGAGAGAAATAGAAGAGATAGCTAAAAGGAAGCAGTCATCATTCCAGTACCTGTTCCTGTTCTTTCTTCTTGTTCCATTCATCAATGTAACTAGTTATTTTCTTTCTTCCCCCAAGAGGTACACCAATCTCCTTCAGGTCTTCATTATTACACAATATCTGCAATTAAAATATTAATCATTTTATTTATTTGTAATTTAGTACGTGGAGCTTACAAAAGTGTTGAAGTCGATCATTTCACTTTCAAATTTCTCAATAAGCTGAGGTAGTCCTAACTGATTCAAAATGTCTGACACAGCAGGAGCATCCTCTTCCTCCTCTTTCTCCTTCTCTTCTTGTTTCTCTAACGAGTCAGTACTTTCAGTTACTGGTAGTGACTGTGGAACTGGGTCTTTGACCACACCCATTGACACACCTCCATCAACCTAATAAAGATGATAAATTAATAATCTTAGAAAATAATGGTCAAAACATGACAAGAATATGTTGACAAAGTTGTACAAAATTAAAACATTTAAATCAATAATACTATAATAAAGTGTAATATGATTAACATACATTGTACATGTACTTTTGTAAATGGTAATAATGTTATATTTACTTTTTGATGATAGAGTAAGTCAAAGAGGATACAAGACCCCAGTGAGTGTCCCATCACTCCCACAGAGCCACTGAATGATGGATTCCTCTCCTTAAATAAAGCATACATTCGATTCATCTCCGAGGACACTTGATCAATAATAGTCTAAAATAGAAAAAATATAATTACATAATACACAATGTACATGTAGTTGCACGTGCATTTTAAAGGTAAATATTTTTATTGATAATATTTATCTATTACATTACCTGCAGGTAAAGTGGGCTGGTATAGAATAATATATCAATCAAAGTTGAGTTAGTGAAATCCCTTAATTTACTGATACTTGGCAAAGAAATGGACTTCACTTGTCTATCAAAACAGAAAAAAAGACACAAAATTTATTTTATTTTATTTTATTAGTTAGTACTTGTCAACTCCAGTGTCATCCCCATGTAGAGCCGAGTGCCACTGTACAGGCAGGAACTCCACCCTCCCTTGTCCCCCCGCCCCCCTACCAGAAACATCATGAGACCTCAGTAATAATAATGACACCTCTCTGAAGTCATCAACTAAAAGTAAAATAAATAAATGAATAAATAAATGAATAAATAAATGAATAAATAAATAAATAAATAAATGAATGAATGAATGAATTACACTAATTACTGAATGACACACTTTAACTTGAAGAGGTTTTATTCTCAGTAATTTTGAGTATAACATTAAGGCAATTGGCAATTATTTTGTGTGATTCAAGGTACTTGCATTTACATGTATTAATCTTCTCATCCTTCCTTCCCTTCCTTACCACAATCAATGAGGCTCCTAAATGAGTCGAGTCTAATGTCAGCAAAAGGTCCAATGCCATGAACAACAAAAACCAAATGATCAATGTTCTTATCTTCACCTAAGAAATGAATATACAATGTAAATAAATAAAACAGAAAGGAACAGTACTATGTAGTAAGTGGTACTAATTTTCAAGGTATGAGCATTTTTAAAAACGACTCAATTTTTAAAAAATACCCAAGGCTATAGCCCATGAATTTTTGCAAAAAATGGCTCCGAAATCACCCCAAATTTTTATTACATTTTCTGATACATATTAATGTATTGATACTGTGTAGCAAGTTTGAGCTGATTCCGACTTCAATTTTTCAAGTTACGGCCATTTTAAGAAAACGTCAAAATTCTGAAAAATACCCAAGGCTATAGCCCATGGTTTTGTCCAAAAAATGGCTCCAAAATCACCCCAAATTTTTATTACATTTTCTGATACACATTGATGTCCTTATGCTGTGTAGCAAGTTTGAGCCGATTCTGACTTCAATTTTTCGAGTTATGAGGATTTTTTAAAAACTTATATACATGTACATGTACATTAATATGTTTACCCATTTGAACTTTATCTCTCTCTAGGAATCCTCTCAGTACAGCTTTAGGCTTGTAATCAATCTGGAGGAGTGAGAGAGAAAGAGAGAGGGGAAAAGAGGAGACTACACCTCAATAACCTGATAAACAGTAGTACCTCATAGTTCAGTGTCTGCACTTGATGGGCAGGATAATGAGCGATGGCAGTTGGTGAATTTATAACAACTGCTTCACCTTCAGGCAAGTCAACACGACAGTTCCAGTTACCTTGCATTACAGCTTCTGTGAATGCAGTCTTTGAGAGACAATAAAAAATTTAATAAAGAGAGAATTTAAAGTTCCATTACTTCTAATTTTATAGCAATATCTTCAATGTATGGCTTATACCAGCGATCATCATCACCTTTATAGAACCAGGTGCACCTTTTAAAACAGCAACACAATAATGGTTCATTCTATTGTACTCCTTACCTCCTAACCAATCCTGGCGGTTCATCCCAATAAACAGCTGCTCTCTGTCTCTTACTGACATCAACATCATATCTACCTCCATCAGTTTGAACAACACTCTATCAATAATAATAAAATTAATTATTTAATTAATTAATTGAATAACGTACATTAAATGATGGATCAGTTTCTAATCTGATGTATATCTCTTCAAGTTTAGACGAATCAATCAAAGAGAAAGGATACCAGTACTCCTGTCCTTCCTTCAGATAGAACCAATGAGCTTGAACAGGAATTATAGATGGTTTCTCTACTGTAAGGGATGGGGCTTGCGATTGAGTGGGTGGAGCCTGAGAATAAGTGGGTGGAGCTTGAGAATAAGTAGGCGGGGCTACTATCTGAGGGTTAGTAGGTGGAGCATAAGTCAATGGGCCAGTGGTGGGTGGAGCAATGGGTGGAGCTTGAGATCCGCTAGTAGGTGGAATCATGTTCTGTGTATAGACAGGTCTTTTACTGGAGGCAGCCCCGCCCACTCCTAAACGATACGGATTAGAAGAACCAGTGGGAGGGGCTGGAGAAGGACGAGGGGACTCACTCCTCCTATGATAAGAGAATGAAATAATAACCTTATTCCTAATCAGTTTAACACAAGTAAGGAAATAGGAGCAATGATTCATTAGCTAACAAGCCTTATGAAAGAATACGACTTTTGGGAGTAACTATAACTTATCATAGATATTATAGACTACGTAACCGGGATTGGAAACTGATGACGTCACACGGATAATTATTGTAATGTGCGCTTTAATTAGAACAAAGCAACTTTTGCCACCAAAGATCTTATTTTCTTGCAGGCTGCAATGGAATGCTGCTTCTATATGGACTCTTTTTACTTAATGCAGTGGAATTATAGTGGTACTAATTATTAGGAATAGTCTTCCACAATCCCTTGTTCTTCTGCAGGTTTTTTCCACACAATTTCTTGTAAAAATGTTGCAAAAGCAAAGCCTCTTAATGTGACGAACTCTCTGATTATTGTTTCATACATTTCATCAACGAGAAGTAAGTTGTTTTCTTCCTCTGTCATTATTATTATTATTATTATTATTATTATTATTATTAATATTATGTGCCACATGTGTAGCACTTCTTCACTTCTAGAAATTGATGCAATCATAGTAATCTCAGTTCTCCTTGGAGTTTGGAAGACCTCCGCTCAGCGCTCACAACTCTTCTGAAGTTGAAGATCTCTCTTAAGCACAACTCAACTTGATAAAAGAAGTGATAGGTGTTGTCATTAACGTGATATAAATAGCGATGTCTGACAAATCAAAATTATTAACACTCATAGTGGTAGGAGGAGTAGCTAAAGATTCATCGTCA